GGGAAGGTGTCTTAGAGATCTTGGAGTTAGGGAGACATTGACAAGTCTATCCAGCTATCCATCGGCTTTTTCCATGTGTTCCTTTCTGCAAGTCTTGTCTAGTGTGATCAGGGATCAGGATACCCGATTGTTTTTTTGCATCGCCGAAGCTGAGTGCAGACTCCAGTGGTTAGCTCTCTGCCTTGCAGAACGAGCTGAAACTTACGAGCCTTGCACCATTGTATTCCATATGAATCATCGGGAAGGGGGGACGAGCAAATAACGGGGAAGGAACAGGAACAGCACAGAAGCAACAGGGTGAGGAACAGCTGCCCTTTTGATAAAGGCCCGGGCCGGGAAGGTGACGAAGCTTTCGGTGACGTGTCCGCTTTCGGTGATAGAGCGGTGGTTGACACATGGTCAAAATGCCGTGCCTTTGGTGGGCCAAGTTGGTGACTAGATGTCTTTTATGATTGTTGTTGATGTGAAACTGATCTACTTGGCCATTTTCTCTATAAGCATCAACATAAGTGAGTTTGCCTACTCGTCTTGCATGTTCAGTTCTAGGCATGAGCGAGTTAGGAAGGAACAACAACCTGGCACAGGGGATCGCGCACGGGATCTGCTCGGATGATGTGTCCTAAGAGCTGGATCTTTCCGAAGAACTATAGCTTCACTTCCACGACGGTCCGACTTTAAGTTCACCTTTGAACATCGATGTATCACCTCAAAGCCAAGCACCGATGCGGATGGTTCCCAAGCGAATTTGGGCGCTCCTTCCCGGCCAATGACACATGGCAAACACAATCGGGCGTCTGAAGCTAGAGATCTGTGTTTGCACCCAACAGAGCCCCGTTGTTTCTGTTGATAGCTCGGTGAGGGCTTCAAACTTAGGAATTAGATGCAGCTACTACAGACCAAACTACATCTATTTAATATGACATATCTTGCCGATGCTTGGAGTCAAAGTGGCGAGCTCAAGATGCTCAAGTGTAAGCATGCATCAAAGAGAGTCGTGTCCCTTCAACGCCCAGCATCCTCGAGCCGACCGCAGCAACCAAGTGCAAGACTGCAGCTCTGGCACGGACTGGATGCAGCCCTGCCCCACTCCTGCTGCATTGCTATGTCCCCACCTTCTCAGAAGGTACTTGTGGACCTATAGTGGGTATAAACAAATGCGCTTGCTCAAGGAGACCGAACGAAGAACTCGGTCATCGAATGGGTCTCCGAGATGGATCTGTGCCACCCTGAAACAGGTAGCCTGAGCCCTCCAGCGAATGCAACTCCCAGCAACATTTGATGACCCAATTCAGGCACTTAAATTCTTCACATCAACATGAAATGGCCAAATGGATCCATATACGGGCCATAGCCACAACATCACGCGTTTATCATGTGGCTTGGGTGTCGTCCTCCGTCGTTCCGTCCTCAGAGTGTGGCGTCAGGTGAATCTGTCGCGTCACTCATCGAAGGAAATGGAGCGGTAGTGTGTCGTCTGACTAAGAAGGGCGTGAAAACCATCCTAAAGGGTGAGGAAAGGTGTCTTAGAGATCTCGGAGTTGCAAGTCTATCCGTTGCCGCTGTCCTTTCCGTGCTTCTCCTTACTTTCTGCTGTCTCTGTGATCAGGGATCAGGATACCCAGGTCACATCCCGGGGCAGCCATGCGCCTGAAGGGTTCGTGGTCCCACTTGGGTGTATTAGCTGCTAATCCTAGTGATGTTAGACTGAGATGACAAAGGATTGAGAGTCGATGGCGCAGATCCCAAAAGGTAGTTGATATCGACCCCGATCTGCTCTGAAACCGCTGCAGATGAATGATGATGCATGCACAGGGGTTCCAGATTCTGGCCAAGAACCTTGGCCAGGAACGACTCGAGTTGGCAGCCTTTCATGCTGGACCTGCAAGGAGACGACGACCGGCTTAGCCGGCGGGGACGATCATGAACAAAGGCTGCTCGATGCGCTTGTCAACTGCTGCCCCCAAGAGAATACTTGCATACCCTGGGCAAGGTGGCTCAAGGATGAAAGAATCCTAAATAAGACTCTTCTCCAAGCTCAATGACGGTTTCTGGATGTTTTTCGGGCGAAAACAGATCGATGCCCGACCCGAATGGCAACGCATCTTGATTGAAATTTCGGAGCTGAACCCGGCAAAGACGAAGGGTCGAGCGTCGAGCTGCCATTGGATAGGCTCCAGAAGTGCACCCATCTCCCAATCACCGAATCCCCTAATGGCCCTACTGGTCAAGCCAAGACATTTTCAGATAGGTTGAAAACAAACATACACAAGTTACACAAGGGCTGCGTGGACTCATCGCCATGCATGACGTCCAACAAACTGAGTCTTGCCAGGAGGATCTTCGATGTCAGTGGCACATCGAGTCTTACATGGTCAGGTCGTTGGATAGCGGGTTGAGCGGCCCAGATGGGGCCTCCAAACAGCGGGTTGAGACGAAGAGAAGCCAAAGGTGGTGTTCAATTGATGAATTGGTGTTCTGTTGAACGCGGGCATTACTTGGGACATGTTCTTCATGCAAAATATCAAAGTGGACTCCAGATTCCCTGAGCCAGAAATCAGAACAAAGAGATAAAGAGACAAGCATAAGATAGCATAAGAGAGGAACAAACTGTAGGCTATAGGGACTTTATGGGAGAACGCTTCTTCCTCACTTGGTGGTTTCAACCCAAACGTCAGAACAAAAAGCAGGTAAATACACATTTGGCAGCTTCAGCCCCCCCCGCCATCACCATCATCACCTAAAACATCCTAAAGCCCTACCCTCAAAACCCAACGAACACGGACCTCACACTCGGATGTAAAGTCTCCCTGTTGATCTTGCTGCTTGGGGGGTAGTAAAAAGGTTTGCTTCGAAACACCTCCCACCGTCAAGACATCTTCTTCAGCTCGTCATCTTTGCATTCGGTGCCATCGTCTGCGTCGGGTGTTTGGAACCGAAGCCAAACGGTTTTTGGATGCTTTCGTGAAGCAAGTAACAACCCATATAGGAAACTAGGAAACCGGTGAACACCGGGTATGAATGGTGAAAGGCGGATCATGTGCGTCATGTCGTGCAGCTTGCTCAGTTTTTGACTCCTGACTTGCTTTCTGATGCCGATTCATTTGATTGTTACGAAGGCGGACGATTGTCTTCACCTCCTGCGACCTGTCATTCCGTAAATAATCATATGTTGCATGAGAACAGTGAACAGTGTCTTCGCTTAGTTTGGCCCCACGTAACTGCTTAATTGTATACTGATAGAAAATGCAACATATGGTGTAGAATTGCATTTAATATGGTTCAATGTTAAAATATGTGATATCTTGTACTATGATATAAGTATATTTTTAATGTTGATATATAGTGTATAGTTTTTTCCTATTGTTATTATTTATTATACAATGTCAAGGTGTCACATCATGTCACATGGTCACCACTGACAAGGCTTACGCCTAATTACGCCCACTGGTTTGAGCCATTCGAGAGAACGTCCAGCCCTCCAATCCACTTTGATCCAACAGCGAAGCAAGAGCAGAACCAAAACGCAGTTTGTCAACCTTGCAAATGACATCAAATGAATATACAAGATCTAGATTCTAATCTCTTGTCCGGGACTCCTTCTAGGTTTCGTTGAGGTTTTGGAACGAAGTCACTCGCCCGGAGTCGGCCAAAACAATCGAAAAAAGGAGTCCCGAGTGGAGGCTTCGTTTTTGGGTTCCTGGCTTCAAATGCCTTAAAAGCTTCGTTTGCCCTCTGCAAATTCTCACTCCCTATGACCTTTTTTATGTAAATGCATGTATATAAGTGCTGAGCGTCCAACACATGAATGCCATCACTTGGGCACACCTTGCCCTGGTCTCTCTCTCCCAAACTCTCCTCTGCAATTGAAAAAAGAAACAGCGCAGCCATTCCCCTCAGCCAGAGTTGTTCTGCGCAAAAGGGGGTCCGCGAAAATTATACTTCATGGATCTTCATGGATGATTTCGTGGCGCGGGAGGGTGGGTTTAGGGCGGTGCAGCGCCTCTCCCCGACCAGCACACAAAAAAAACGATGCTTTTATGTTGGTCTATTGTTGCTGTTGTTGTTGCTGACTCTCCATGCACCATGGTACAGCTTCACGTGGCTTCAATATGCTTCAATCAGGATGTTCTTCGGGGCCGGGTGTGGGCTGGAAGTTCCAACCCCCGAGCACATTGTTTATCGCTTCTAACATGCTGCTTTGAACGCCATGTTCTCCGTGTCAAAGTAAAAGCGGGGCTCAGTGTCGAGCGTGGGAGGGAGGAAGTGTGTTTTGGGGGCATGGCTTCCTATACTGCACCCCGCGGCATCAACACTTTGTCCCACCCAATGCCCCTGAAGCAAGTTTCAAGTTGGTGTGCAGAAAGCAGCTTCCAATTCTTGCGAGTTCAAAAAACTAGCATCATCATCATCATCATCATCATGTTGGGCTGCAGTAACAAAAGTCACCCCTTTGGACCCAGTTGACGGGCCCAAACGGCCACTTGAGCGTTTTAACTTTAGCTCACTGCTTTGGACATGCACGTGCAAGCAAGTGGCAACATGTGGCAACAACATCTGCAGCTTCGCTGCCGAAAGCCTGAAGAAGTGCGGAACCCACCCAAGTCGATCTCTCAAAGTGAGAGAAGCCGCTAAATGTCATACTCAACAACGTGACTCTATTGTGACTCTCATTGGTAGCGAAAGAAAAGGAACAAATAACGTACTACAGCATTACAATTCTCCATGAAAAAAGGTGCTCAAATCCACTGAAAAACAGAGTCAGGGTCGGGGTTCCCAAAACTGAAAGGACCACATCAAAAAGCATCAAAGTCATATGGGAGCGCCATGGTGTGTCCCCGTAAGACACCAGGGTTTCTGTCCTCTGCGGTTTGAGCATTGAGCCGTGGCCATTCAACTCCCCCAATGAGCACTCAGAAAGCCAATGCTTTCTTGTTTCTTGTTCCTTCTGTCGTGCCATAAAGCAACAAAGATTACATCGTCCTCGTCGTCGCCCCTTTTTCTGCGCCAATGATCAGTCCGGCTTAGCACTGAGAAAGGCAATTCAAGTCGCTGAATGCACATGTGGCCCTTCTGGAAACACTAGTCACAAATGTCACAAATAGCTACTAGCTGAACAAACCCACAACCGCTAAAAGGTGTTTCCCTTCCTCACCATGTCCACGAACGCACCCACCAAACTCTTGCTCCAGAAACGCGCGCCAAGCAGCCCTTGCATGAACCGTCTGCGGATCCTCCGCGGAATCGAAAGCGATTTGGGCCAATCCTTTGAACATCTTCGATCCGAATCCGGCGACTCAATTGTCGAGACGAATCGAGCCGAATCGTGTAGGTGCATGTAGAAAGGTTGTTCAATTCAAATGGGCGGGTCTATTAATCAAGAGTCATTAGGGTCCATATGGGAGAGAAAAACGCATCAGCGAGTCACGTTTTATAGAGGGGTATCGGGAGAATCCTTGCTCGCAAACAGCTTTGAGATCGGTGAAAGACTTCTGTGATCACTCAGGGCCACTTGCAACGGCTGAAACGCTTGAACCAGACCCCTTCGGAACTGGGTCGAAATAGCCCAATCTGGGAGTTCCTTAAACATCATATGTAGCATAGGCTTGGAGTTCCTTGGATGCGTTGGTCAAAGGCAGACCGCAAGCAACTATGATCCCCTTCTTGCTTTGTCTTCGGGTGAGAAGAAGTGGCAACACTTGGGTGTGGCTAGAATACTCCGGGATCATAGACCACCTTGGCACTGCTTCGGAATTGGCTCAGTGATGGGCGCACAGAATCTTTACGGCCCACATTTTAGAACACCCAGTGCAGCGTCAACAAGCTGCTGACCGCAAGTGACAACCTGTTGCAACAACTCTGCACCATGCGGCACCCTGCAGCACCTCTCATCCGATGCATCAGAAGCACATCAAATGCATCACAAGGCTGCGAGGAGCGACCGGGCGCGCCGAGTCGATCGAGCCGATCGTGATCGGCCAGTGCATGACGGGCGATCGTGGGGCTATCATGTGCCTCGAGGTATCTCAAATGAGTGGATGAAACGTGGGCCACCCATGTTGGCCCTTTTGCATTCCCAACGTGCTCGGAAAACAGCAAGGTCGAAAAGCAACTGGTTGCGACGGTGATGACTGTGGCCCCAGGTAGTCGCATGCAAACGCGTGCAGGTATCCTTGCCGAGTGTCTGCAGTTCTGCAAGTCAGCTCGGTTGCATGTCAAGCACAAAAGCATGATGATTCGTGAGGAAAGGTGGAGCTTAGTGAGCTTGCCTGCCTGAGTTTGCACACGAATCTAGGTGCTCAATGGTGCTCAGGGACCTTTGGTAGCTGCTGCTGTCTGCCCTCCCGCCAGCTGTCGTAGTAACAAAATGGCAGGCGGCCTAATTGCTGGGTCAGCTAGCGGGTCTTTGTACAAGCTCAGCGACTGTGACATTACCAGGTAGAATTTTACAGAGCCTATAGTATGCATTCGTACTTCACAGTTCCACGCCTTCTCAGAATTTAATGATCCTTCTAATGCAGGTCCGTGGAAAAAAGCGTTTCTTGTGGCCTCCGTTGCTCAGTGAAGCACTCATGGAAGGAGAGGAAAGGTGACCGCTTTAGGTGGAAGCGCGGTACGACGACCGTTCCTGCCTGCGATGTTTGGTGGTAGTCTGCTCGTGCACCTGCCCAAACCGAGTCAGTTCCCAGTAAAACCGAGCCAGTTCCCAAGCTTAGTACTGTAAGGAAACAAAGGAACAGCATGGCAAGGGAAAGCGCGGTACGTCGACCGGACCTGTTGCCTCACCCAACTTCATGATCGTACATGGGTGCATGTAGGACATGATCGTACCGGTCCCAGGTATTGGTGGTATTGGATGGTATAGACGGGTAGACCCGCAAGACTTGGGGGTGGCGCGTGCGGTGTTGTTCTTGCACCTGAGTCACCTCCCCCGACCTCTTTCCACCAACCCTGAGTCACCGCAGTGATCTTGGAAGACCGTCGCTACACATTGCGGCTGAAGGTTACCGAGCGCGGCGCGGCATTGGGCCAGAACGTCCAAAAGGAAGACAGCAGGGGCCAACGGAAGATGTAGCCCAATCTTGGAGTTCCTTAAACATAATATGTAGCATAGGCTTGGAGTTCCTTAAGGCCTTGGATGTGTTGGTCAAGGGAAGACAGCAGGCAGCTATGATCCCCTTCTGGCTTGGTCTTTGAACACCAATGTTAACACCATTCAAGTGAGCATGTCGAAGATGAGATGAGTTGTCAAGCATTTCCCGATAGCAACCCGCGCCCAGCCTGCCGTTTTCTTCAGATTGATGTGGCCATGCGCGTGTGCTTTCTCCACGCAATGCGTGGTTTGAAGGTTTGCCCGCCAATGCAGGTTTCTCACAGCCCCACTCAGGTCGTGGTGATCCTCATTTTCATCGCCACATTCGTGCTCCCCTCCCTCCTGGACGAAGCCCAGTGGGTGCGCCTCTCTTGGTTCTGCGCCTTTTGGCGCACGGGCACCGTAATTTGGGGCGGCGGTCAAGTGGTGCTACCTCTGCTGGAGAATGAGGTGGTGCCCACTGGTTGGGTGGATCAATCAGTCTTCTTCAGTGGCTTGGCTCTAGCGCAGGCGAGGAGGTTTTTGACTGATCTGCTGATCGTTGCTGGTGATCTGCTGGCTGCTGGGTGTCTTGGACCGTGGAATGGAAAACGTTAAGATGACATGAATCTCGGAAGAAGCGCAGAAACTCCTGCGACGGTTCTTCGACCAGAACTTCCATTCAAGAATGCCCATGGCTTGCACCATCTTGCGCCAATGCATGTTGTTTCAGATATATTTTTTGCATCTCAGTAATTATATATGCTGACTTCTCACCTCCAGCTGGCCATGCGCTAACAGCGCAGGCGATGCCTGGTCCTCTCTTTAACTTTGCTGCCTTCCTTGGAGCCGCGGCGGGCTACAAGGCCTATGCGACCATCGGCGAGGGGATCCTGGGCGCCGCGCTCTGTTGGTTGGGACTGTTTGGGCCGGGCGTGATGCTGATCTTTGGCATTTTGCCCTGGTGGGGCCACTCGGATCTTGGGTCAAGCAGTCGAATTGAGTGGAAGTGGGAGGCTGGGAGGTGAGGCTGGGAGAAGATCAATTATATGGTTGTGGTTTGGGGAGACTGATGAGTTTTTTGCGATCGTTTGGCATTCAATTCAAGCGGGGACTTCTAGGGAAGAGGAACGCCTCCAATTATAATCACATATGCAACAATGTTATCCAACAAGCTTCCCCAACAAGCTACAATATGTTATCCTCTTCCACCTCAGTCAGTCGCTTTGTCCCGCGTCAGTCGCTCCCACACACAACTGGTGTCTCATGGCTTGGGGTGAGTTTCAGTAGTGTCAATAGCGAAAGAAGTCCATGGCATGTTTGATGACACCATATGCACACCATTGATCATATCATTCTTTCATACTATGTTGTATTTGATGACGGCGGGGGTGTGCAACCTTGTGTTTGACGGGCTTCTTCTCGAACTGGTGGCTCATTGGAGTCATCCAACTTTTTCCTTCCAATGGAGAGTCATTCTCGATACTTTGGCAGTCTGGCGCCTTTGTCCTCCCAAATTCCATGGCCCAAACAAAATCAGCTTGTTTCAATGGCCCACCTGCCCATTGCGCTGGTGACCCAAAAATAGACGTTGAAAGACAACACGTGAATGCCCTGGTGAAAGGAAAGGAAGTTCTCCAAATCAGGTCCTCATCCAGACTCCTCTTTTCATCGTCTTTGACTCCTCAGGGGAGTCATACTATATGCCTTGGCTCGGCTTGGCTCGGCTTGGCTCCGCTCGCCTCACCGCGGAACTACCAAGGCCAGTTCCGCGCCAACGCCACCTACAAGCGAGCGCTGCCCGGCCTCAACGCCGCTGCGGTGGGTCTCCTGTGTGCGGCCCTGGTGCAGATGGGCGCGGCGGTGCGGGAGAAGAATACGAAGCCCTTGGGACCGAGCCTGGGACAGGAAGAACTCGAAGTTCTGAGGTTCTGAGGAGGAAGACTTGCAGGATGAAATCTATGGAATCTATGGATCAGCTTTGGATCACGGGCCAACTAGTCAAAGAGCTTTAATATCATCCTATGGATAATTCTTTCACCCTATATCATGCATTCACACGGGCCACCTGCCAGAGCTGTTCCCCTCCAGGTGTGCCTAACAGGTCAGGGCGATTGGTTCGCTCGTTGGGGGTCGTTGAGGATCGTTGAGGTGTGTTCCAACCGGTTCGTCGGTGGTCTTCCCGCCGTGACGAACGGGAGATGAATCAGAGCTGGAGCTGAAAAGTGATCGTGGCAAGGTCTCCGTGGTCGACTGATCCACAGGAGGTGGTCGATAGATTTCAACCGGATGCTTGAGCTGTTCACATGTGTTCTCCCCCCGACATCTACAATTACAATCAATTAAAACTACAACGTTTTATAGCTTAGACGGTTTCATTTGTTTGATGGTGAAGTCTTATGTCATGTTCTCGTCTCGTTCCAACTGTTTGCTGAATTCACTCAGGATCCCCCGAGAAGCATCCACCTGCATTGGCTTGATGGTGACCTGCTGCATTGGCTTCGTTCGTTATCGGCTGGGAGAGAGGAACAACGACACAATGGACATGGCACAAGCGGTGTTTGGAAGTCACTCAGGTACTAAAGCCCGGAAGTAACATCATGGAATCATGAAAGAAGGATAGTAATTAACAGTGTTAATCTTGTTATCACGTCTTTTCTGTTGGAGCTTTTGAAGTGCCCTTGAGAATCTCAAGAAGTCTTCAGGCTCATGAAAAGTGAGAGGTTCAGGGCACAGTTTTTGAACCCATTATTGTGGCAGGATGGGCTTACCCTGGCATGTCCAAGATATTCATGGATTCTGCTACTGCCGCGCCGGGTTCTGTTTACCGTTTAGCTCGTTTTACAACATGTTCAGAACACTCATAATATTGATTTTGGCATGTGTTCAATCAATAATTCAAGAAGGTCAACAAGAGACAGCGGACAAATACGGAGACAGACTATATTTATGCCAAAGGTTTTGTGCTACGACTGCGCGAATCCTCAGGCATTCTGGGGAGTGCACTGGCTGAAGTTCAAGGAGATGCCAATCTTAACGCAGGCGAGTCAGCATTAGATCGAAACCTGCTCGCCTGCGTCCAACGCTATGTCCAAGCCCAGTGGATCCCAGGCAACCACGAGTCGTAAGGAACCAGGGGCGCCGTTCCGTTCAGTCTATATGGTTTTTCGATGTTTTTTTGTCTTTGAAACCACGGATTACCAGCGCCATGGTAACTGGATCCCCTGGGAACTCCGCATGTCCTTCGTCCAAAGGTCTCACGTGCAGGGCACCATGGTGGCCCACCCCGCTCGCAGGTGCAAGCACCTCTGGTGGTGGTGGCCAGTGGCATTTTTGGTCTTTTGGCCGGCGTGTTGGAGATGCGCTGAGGACACAGCACTGGTAGAACGTCTGGGCGGAGGGGCCAGTGTTGTTTTTCTGGAAAAAGGAGGTTTGAATATAAGGCTTCTGGATGGATGTATATAACAATATACAACTATAACAATAACTACTATATATATATATATAATATACCAAATCTCAGAGTCTCAGAGGGTAGTTCAACCCTCCAAAGCCTCCAAAATCTGCCCTGCAACTCGGTATTTGCATCTTCCTGAATCGTCCACAGAAAACATGGGTATATAACGGTATATACGGGTCCCAGCACCTTCCAGGTCTCCGACATGGAGGGTCGTTGGGAAGGGCAGCGTCCGTGACCCGGTCACCGGAGTCCTAGGGGTCGGGTCCTGCTCGGTCGGTCCAGGATCGCACTGAGTGGCTCCGGTGGCGGTTTCTGCGTGGCGGTTCGTGGGTTCTCTTGCGATGGCCCCAGAGGTGCAAGGGGCCCACGACGCTTCCCCGGCTTGATTGTAGATGTATCGAATTGATTTGTAATATTCAAGTTCAAGTTCAATTGCCTAACATGCAGGGAAGCCAAATGAAATCAAAGGAAAGCACGTCAAAACATACACATAAAATATCAGGATTGTCCGATTTTCCCACAAGTATGGTTGGTTTGGGGAGGTGAGTTGCCAATGCATGATACTGTGCAAATTTGGTCGTTGAAGCCGACCAAAATTGCTGGCGGGCCATGCCTTTTTTTTTCGAGCTGCAAACTGCATGCTCCAGAGACCCTGTGGACGCAAGAACTTGAAAGAGCTTCCTGCGAAGTAACTAGTTTGTGTAGTACTTCCAGATGTTTACTAGATTAGGTATAGACCCTCAAGGCTCCTCGAAGAGGAAACGTCAACTTAAGTGGTAGAATTCCCGCAAATACCTTGTGGCTTTTCTCGGCTTCACGCAATGGACCAAGTCTTGCTGAACATGCACCTCCAGAGATGGGAAGTGCCATCTCATCTCCGCTCCGACTGCCACTCCCACGCGGACACACCATGCAGTGATGAAGCAGTGGAAAGAACTACCGTCCATAGGCCTATGAACAACCGCCAAATACGGGCCTTCCTTCATTCCCATCGTCGTGTCGACGAGGAGCGGGCAAAACACCCGGTGGGAGATCGGAGACGGTCGATGGATGTCCGGTGGTCGGGGGGAATGACGCTCGGCCACAAGGGAGCTCGGTGTGGAGAGTCTCTCAGATGCTGGCATTTGGGGTCAACCTTTCCTGGAATCCTATAGCTTTTCCCTGGTCCTAAAGGCTGCCCCCCAGAGAGAGAGAGAGAGAGACAGAGAGACTGACAAGCCTCACACGCTTCCGCTTGGAAGTTCACCAACGTACCTCAAAGATCGCAAATTGAGTGGTGGGACGAATTGCCCGGATGTCCTTTGTTGTGGGGGTTGTAGATGTCCCTCTTTTAGCAGCACAGCTTTGTTCATGGCACCCAAGCGACCTCAGAGTTGGTGTAAAGCGACTTGCCGCATCCACGTGCTGACTGGCCCATACAAGTGACTAGCCCAGACTACAAACAACATGCCAAGCCTTGAGTGGTAACCTTGTTATCCTTTTTGGAATGGAGATCTAAAAAGGACGTGCTGCTAAGCCACTGAAGGTTATACAGTGTTATACCCTTAGCAACGTTAGACATGTGGTAAGTGCACTGGGTTGGTTGATTTGACAAATTACGAGAAACTCTGGTTTTCACCGTCGGGCCAATTCTGGCACACCCGGTGCGCCCACCAGCTTCTGCCCAATTGAAGTTCATCCAAGCGAAGGAACATGATTAACATGATGCAACTGCCACGACCTGGCCTACAAAACGTGCAAATAAAACCGCCAAACACCATCTGAAAAAAGACTCTTCAAACTTCAGACAGTCCAAATTCTTAACATGCCGGGCGCTGCCAGAGCCTTCGGAGCCGGGACCTCCACGCGGAGCCTGCAGACCGCGCGGATGCCTCAGAGCCTCCGGATTTCAGTGTTGTGGAGGTTGATTGGATGCGATCGAACTGGAGTGAAAGATGAGAGTCGTCCCCAAAAAAACACATGAATTACGATTAAGATCGATTAATTAAGATACATTATTAAGTTAAGCTATTGTTTTTTGTTGTTTTTTGGGGCGGACCACCCCCGAAATGTTTCTCCGTCCATTGAGCTTAACTGTTCGGATGATGTCTTCGGTGGCGGCCCGATAGCGACAGGTGGAGCGGGGATGGAGTCGATCCGAGTGGCTCAAGGCAACACATGTCCGAGCATCGACGGATAGAACAGGCATCGAACTGACGCGAGACCGTGAGAGTCTCTCTCTCTCTCTAACATCATATAGACATCGATATAATAAGCAGACGTTCTTCTTCTACCGAAGCCCATTTCCTTGGCAGCTCGTCTCTTTTTTTCTCCAGGCCAAACGGTCCCCGTCCCAAGCCATGCTGCGCCGGTGTGCAGCTAAGGGCGGGACGCCCCTGGCAGAACATGCAAGAGACCTCAGCATGAGACCAGAGGAAGAGTCACCAGGTGACATGCGTTTCCCCATGTATACCGTGCCTGTAGAGGCATTACAGAAGATGACTAAGATTGAGCCACATGAAGTGCTACAGGAAGGAGGTGTACTAGTGGAATACGAGAAGAACTTGGGCAAAGCTGCGTTTGTTTCACACCAATGGATTGGAAGCAGTCATCCAGATCCAGAATTCAAACAGATGCGGGTTCTTCAGCAGGCTTTGGAGCAGGCGATGTTGATGCGATCCATACCTGTAGACATCACAACGGAGGCCGCCATGGGTGGTAAGCCAATGTCTACATCCCAACTTTGGTCGGCGCCTTTGTTCATTTGGTATGACTACTTCTCCATTCCGCAACTGGACATCAATGCTTCTGGCCAAAAGTCCACCCAAAGGGACGCCATAGCAACAATCCCCACTTATGTAGGCCAGTGTGATTTCTTTTTTGCACTGGTTCCCTTTGTTGAGAAGCCATGTCAAACTGGTGTTGTATCATGTTGTATCACTCTCCACTTGGTCTCGCCGTGGCTGGTGCCGAATGGAAAGGATATGCCGTCAGCTTTCCAAAAGTGAGGCCTGTGTCACAGTGTTCAGTGGCACAAACTTAGAATTGAGAAGAACAGCGGCAATGGCTCAGGAGGCTGTGGGTGAAGGAGATTTCACTGTAGAACACGATCGCCTGCTACTAGCTCCAGTTTTGATGCGAGCCATCAGACGCAAGTTGCTAAACTTGTTGAGGTCCCAAGATATTCTTGGTTACCGTGCATTGCTGAATTTGCAGTCCGTCCACTTGCGAGGTCTTGATGTCGAAGGCTTTTGCACGCCAGTGCCCGGATTTGAAACAGAATTGGATTTAAATCATTTAGATTCCAGTTCCATCCAGGTAGAGCATTTCTTCTACCAAAATGGCTTCACGTCACTGAATGACACGGATAGTCGCGGATGGTTTCCTATCCACTACGCAGCCGTGGGAGGCGACTTGTTGGTGATCAACGGCTTGTTGACAATGAGGGCAGATATGAACTGCAGAACTAAGAAGGATCATCCTGCATTGGGCTTTCCGCCTTGGATCAGCCCATTGAGCATTTGCGCCTTCTACAAGCACAACGATGCCATAGGACTACTGCTGTCAGCACGCGCAAGAGTGGAGACCGGTCTGATGGCGCCTCCTTTGATGATAGCAGGGCATGCCAACAATCCAGAGGCTATTCGGCTGTTCATCCATGCTGGCGTTGATCCAGAGAAACGAAACATGTTCGGCTTCTCACCTTTTGAGGCTGCGTGTAATGAAGGCTCCTTGGAGGCCATGAAGGAGTTTTTGAAAGCAAAGCCCACCATGAAGGTGCCATCTTCTGCGTTGCATCTTGCTATGACTGAAAAAGGTGGTAATGTAGTCCCTTGATTTATAACCCCCCCCCCCTCAACAACCAAGGCCTCCAAAATAATGTATATGAAAATCAATCAGTTGATAATTAAATAAGGAATCCTTAGCTAGCTACCTCTGGAGCTACTCTGGCAATATTAAATTAAAAGGAAATAAGAATTCCTAACTTTGAAGACCTCTGGCAATATTAAATTAAAAGGAAATAAGAATTCCTAACTTTGAAGACCTCTGGCAATATTAAATTAAAAGGACATCTCAAATTTCTTAATAGAAATCTCCATCCAAAAGCCTCCAAAAGCATCAAATCTCAATGGAAATCTCAACTTTTCTAATAGAAATCTCCATCCAAAAGCCTCCAAAAGCATCAAATCTCAATGGAAATCTACAAAGTTTTAATAGAAATCTCCATCCAAAAGCCTCCTAAAGCATCAAACCTCAATGGAAATTGTCAATAGAGATGAGGTCTCAGTATAGCTTCTATATAGGTACTTGCCATACCATTTTGGCTCAAGTGCCCAACCAGGTAAAAAGGAGCTTTAGCGCGCGAGCTTCATGTTGAACTAAGGGCTAGAACGGGGCCAGGGCACGCTTTTCATCCGTTCGCAGGTTATCAGCCGTATCCAGACTCCTTCGAGCTGGGTACGAGCTACGGCCTTACACAACACCATCTAAACGCACACGCATCGGATAGATCAGTTACCCTCAGTCACTGAAGATGGACCAATCCGACGCCAGCACTGCATCCTTTGGAGCAGCCGCTGCGGCCGCAGATCGGGTGAGTGCATCCCACAACTCTAGTCCAGGTACGATCGAAGCGGAGACTCTGACAGTGGTGAGAGAAGTTGCGACAGGTAGAGCACGAAGTCGTTCCCCGTCAGCGCACTCGACACCACCGGGGGGGACACCGAGATCGGGCCGTAGCCCTAGGGAGACAAGGAGGAGGACTGACGCCGGAGCTGTGAGAGTGCTAGCTTTAGAGGATGGGTCAACTGTACCAGTACCGTCGGACAGCGAAGCTGGAGACGGAGCAAGGGCAAGCACTGACAACCTACAACTAGCACGGGCCGATGGAGACCTCAATGCGAAGTGTGCACAACTACTTGCCGAAGTGCATATGTTGAACCACCAAAACGCATGGATGGTCGAATGTGAGCAGAGACAGAACCAGATTATACAACACGAGACCGAAGTCCACGAAGTAGTGATGACACAACTCGAAGAATGTTATGTAGAAGATTGTAGAAGGATATGGAAATCAACGAAGAATCTCCCAACTTACAGAATCCAGAGACTGTTTGCTCTCAGCAGCACACGATTTGCAATACCAGATTGACACTGATCGTGTGGCAATGCGGGATCGTCTCACCCAGTTAGGGGAGTACGCTGATCGCAACAGCGCAGAGATGGTTAGTCAAGTCGTGAACATCGGCACGGAAGAGATCCAGGCTATATCGGCGGAAAGAGATCGAGCTGTGACGGAACTCATGACTGCAGTCGCAGATGCTGAGAACATTAGGGATCTGTATAGGCAGGAGATAGTTGGACTACAAAGGCAGAGTGTCAGGAACAAACACGAATATGCCGAGGAGATGAAGATGAAGGAAGCAATGTATACAAGCAAGATCAAATGGTTATCAGAAGAGAATGAGGAGCTCAACAACCGATCTTATAATCAGGACAACTTCATCATGACCATCAGAGAGCAATTGAAGAGGGCGAACGAGGAGTTGACGCAGGCGAGGACTCAAGGATCCGACCGACCGTCTCAACCATCCAACGTCGAACTCAAGAAAGCTGAGGTCAAGATGAACATGTTGGAAGAAGACATTCTACGTAAAGAGAGGATGTTGAAACGTCTTCAGGAAGAATTGATCGAATCTAGCGCGAGTGAAGCACAGCTGAAAGTCGCACTGAAGATGAAACCACCAGACATGGGATCAGAATCCAATGTGGAGAGTGAGATGATGACCAGGCTTAAAGCGGAACTTGAACGCACCGAAAAGTCATTAAGGTCCGAGGAGAAAGAGGCGATGGAGTACTACGAAGGTATGATGCAGAACCAGCAGGACATGATGGAATTCGAAGCACATGCAGCACGACTCAGAGATGAGAGGAATAAGTACCGGAAGAGGTATGAAGAGGAGCGCATGAACGTCGAGAATGCAGCTGCAACCGAACATGGTGCCGCTTCATCCTCTAGCTCGGGTGGCTCCAAGATATCTCGGAAGGAACACGAGAAGATCAACATCCCTGCATGGCCCAAGATACACGACTTGGAGGTTTGGAAATCCCAAGTTGTAGCGGCAGTCGTGACGGCATCGGGCGACGAAAGACAAGAAGATTGGATCCAGTGGCTCTCGGATGCCTTCAAATCACCATATGACCCATTTCTGCTCGAGACATCGGGCGAAGCAAGATTCGCTAGCATAGATGCTAAGCTAGGTATCACCCTACACACGATTATCCACGCAGCAGGTGAGAGATCTCATGACGTACAACTGAAGGTGAGGCAGATGATGCAGAGACGTGCGAGAGGCACAACCCCGGGAATGGTTAAGGGACGAGAAATGTTAGCGTTGATCGTCGATAGCTTCCGGAGTGCCGACAACGTCGATGTGATGTATGCATCTAAGCACTTATTCGATCTGAAGTTCCCTGGAGATAATCAACTATCCAGATTCCTTGGACAGTGGGATGAGATCATATCAGGTATGGATGCGGATGACATGCTTCCTGACAAAGCACTCCGCAACCTGCTTTGGGACAAGATTAAAGATTCCAAAGTTATGGCGTTAGACTTGTCTGTATACGACAACATGTTGGATAAGGATCCGGATAAGACCTATCAGAAGTTACGGGAGATTATGGCAAAGTGGATACGGAAATCAATCGAGACCACAAATAAGAAAGAAAGGGAAAAAGCTTTTGGGAACCTTATGAAGGTTACACCAGCGGAGAAGAAGGACCCTAAAGCGAAGCCCAAGAATACCAAGGCCGATCCACCGAAGGACGCCGCTCCAGTACTTCCTCAGAATAATCCGAAGGATCACCAAAAGAAGGACAAGAAGCAGGATCGCGGAAGGTCAACCACGAAGAGCCCGAAAGGGGACCGTGGCAGATCAGCGACTCCGGCAGACACGTCTAAGATAGGATGCGCTTTCCACTTCCATGGGAAGAACGGATGTTCTAGAGGAGACAAATGCAAGTTTAGTCACCAGGAGAAGCACAAAAGTTCTGCTAAGAAACCAGACAACCTCAAGGGTGACAGGTCAAAGAGTCCTGGTGGTAGGAGCACTAGCCCTAAGCCAATGAAGGATCAAGTCTGTTGGAATTGGCAGAAAGGATCATGCAAGTTCGGAGACAAATGTCGACGTCAACACCAAGCTGCTCCTGCGGCAAAGCAAGAGGCTAAAGGCAAAGCCAAGCCCAAACCAGCTGCACCGGCCTTTATGCTTTGCGGGGACATCGAGAGTGATGACGAGGACATGCAACCAGCACTTCCCAATATACGACGAGGTGGGTTGGCGCTTCGCTTTAAAGTCAGATTCGATGACCAGGCGAATGTGACCACGTTTCCTTGCGATCCTGGTAACGAACT